ACTCTTGTAAGAATCGGGATAACTTATTTATTTTAAAAGCAATTACTTCCAACTTTTTACAGCTGGCTACATAATATAGCTGCGTATTGAACTAGTAACCAGACAATTTGCATTCCCCCAAATATTTTTATAATTTAATCTGCTTTGTGGCAAAAATTTTTATGCGTTCACGTCATGTTTCCACCTTGCGCGCGCAGTTTAAAACATTCTGTTGCATAATTTAATTTCATATTTAATATATAGCTTATAACATTTGGTAACTACTCTGAATCTAAAATCTTAATTTTGTCATAAAGCAGATTAAATTATAAAAATATTTGTGGCAACGCAAACTTTCTGGTTACTAGTTCTGAAAGCAGCTATATTATGCAGTCATCTGTAAAAAGTTGGAAGTAATTGCTTTTAAAATAAATAGAAAATCCTAAATTCTTGCAACAGTCCCATATTCGAAGATCTTAAGGGTTTTAAGGTGTATGAGGACCCTTAAGGAAAAAAGAAGCTACTTTATAGCAATTTTAATGCTAAAAATGTAGTATATCTTCTGTATCCATTTTATAAGCAGCTAGCTTCTTCCCGGCCTCTAAAATTTTGGCGTTTGTGCTTCCGTTTTCTCTTAGAGCAGCTGGATAACCGTGCCATGTTCTTCCTCCCCCCCCCCCGTGAAACATTCATAAAACCCTCACCGGTCATTTATCTTCGTTAGCTACCGGAGGAGAAATTGAATAGAATAGCCCCCGGTAACAATAATTATTTAGGCGTAGTTTATTGTGGGGTGTTTTGCAGGAAAGCTCACTGTGATTTTATTCTGAAAGTCATGCGCTCTTTTAGTAAGAATGGCGCAATATCTGAGGCCAACAAATGTCTCAATCAAGGTTCAGAAAAAAGAGGTCTATTTCCTTTTCCTTATACGTAAAAGTTCTTTTTTTGCTTTGATGCAGCATGAGAACTAAAGAATATCATAAAAAAGAAAAAGACTAGTTTAAACATATTTATGGATCTAACATTTGCTGGACAAGAGCAGCTGTATCTAAAGTGACTGAAATGGAAATTTAAAATGTGCAAAAAATGCATTAAAAAATCATATTAAAACTGCATACAGAAATTTTGTAGAAATTTAATGAAAACTTGATATATTTGTTCCATATGGAAGTATTGTAAAACATAGTATTAGAAACACCTTTCACTAATTAAAATAATGGTTCAAATATTTATCAAATTAAGAATTTGCTTGTATTACAAAATATATCAGTTGTATGTATTACAAATTATATTAGTTAGATATCCTGTTAAAATATCTAAGAAAAGAAGACTTGCATTATTGAGAAGTGTGTTTATTGCTTTTATATGCCCCAATCTAATAAGTAACTGCTGTTAAAATTTGAAAGCTAAATTGAGATCTTACCTCTTAACTTATCTTAAAATATCTTATCAAAATTTATCTTAAAATGATCTGGAGCTATTGTTTTCGTTTTGCAATTTTGCGTTGAATCACTGTAAATGTCCGTTTCACTTTTCAAACTATTGCCACCAAATGTTAGAGTCCTGCATTATATTTGAAGAAAATAAATAATGAAAAATCTGCTTAAATGTATGTATATTTCTCGCATTATGATAAAACAACGGTACGTAGAGCCATCGAATTTTGAATGACGTAATCCTCCTACGAAAGACCAAATTTGAAATTGGTTTTATTATCAATTTCATATTTTGTGAAACTTTAAAGAATTTTTGAGTAACAAACTCAAGGATTTCGAAGCGAACAATGGCAACATTCTACGGGGGGGGGAGAGAGAGAAAAAAATTTGTTTACCTCCAGCGCGCGGAACTGTGTATCGGAAATTCTAAAGATAGGCTCATTTAAAAATTATTTTGCGACATTGCTATGAACTGAATTTTAAGGTTTAAGTGCAAAGAACATCATATTTAATTAATAAAGGTAACACACAAAACGTTAAAAAAACGCCCCTTTGGAAGTAATTTAAAATCTGAAACCTTTCAGATTTTTATCTTTTTATTCTTATTATTTATAAAGCCAATTCCTACTTTTTTTTTATTTTAAATCTAAAATGGAAAAATAATACAAACTACGCTACTAACTAACTTTAGTATATCCCTTCAAATCCAATAATTGATAGATTAAATGTTTTCCAGCCCCTTGCAATTGCGACTTGCGAAGAAGTTTAGGTAATACGATTGGAAATACCCGGGAAACTTAACTGGCCGCTTTCATTTTAAGACTTTTTAAAAATAGAATATGAACATCAATATAATTTATTTTCACTTTAGCACATGCCAGATTTTTCGTTTAATTGTTATTTTGCATCCAGAACAGGCATTCACAAAATCCTTGACTCTTTAAGAAAGGCATTTGTGATTTCAACTGAAAATCCTCAGGGACAGATAAATTGTATTTATAAGAAAACATATCGCTCATAAATGTAAAGCCACGATTAAAATTACTCACTTCATCCATTCTATTGGTATACATCCATTGCGCAAATTACGTTTGTGTCTTGGATTCCAGAACCTTCCTGTGAAAAACGATAAAGCAAATTCCTGTTATTAGAATATCTGTCAGAAATGTGACAGAAGACTTTTGTGCAATTGCACATGAACTCGCATTCCTCTGAAGAACTAATTCCTCTATCTGAAAAATGGTTTCATATTAATTTTATAATTGTATATAATTTAGAATTGCACATAATTGCCAAACTGATAGCAGAGTCAAACCGCCGTAGCTCGTTGCCATAGAAGGATTTTTTTTTTTTTTTTTTTTTCTTAAAATTTTATTAAAAGTAGCAGCATTTTTAAGGGTCATCAGGAGCAGAGTCGAAAGAATATCAATACAATTTGTCAACGAAAGTCTTTTCAATTGCAGAATCTGTAAAAGACATGCTATATAGAATTTAATCACACATTTTAATTGAATGTATATTTCAAAGATAATTAAGATTTGGAAGGAAAATTGATCCTCTCTTCCGTTATGTCTTCGGTCTATCTTCTCTCTCTCCCTCCCTCTCTTCCGTTATCTCTATCTGTCTATCTTCTCTCTCTCTCTCTCTCTCTCTCTATATATATATATATATTGATACATACATCATGCATTTAGGAAGTATTTCCAACTATCTTTGAGGGATACAAATTTCATTACATATCGCTGCAACTAGTATTGCCGTAGAAATGCAGTGAATGAATGCACAGGAAACCACTTTCATATAAAAAACTGAAAATAATGTGTCCGTATTAGGAAACATGAAAGATAAATGAAATTCTTCATTTAAATATAAATTCAAATATCTTTATCTTTTATTCAAATATCTTATAAAGTCATTGTGAAATGAAGATAAAAATTATTTTGAAACTAATAATATTTAAATACTGGAGTCAGAGCTGTAGATAGGGTTTTCAGCGCCCGGGGACAACTGAAGATCTCGCGCCCCTCTTCTGTTTGCCAAGAGTGGAAAACATGTAATTTTAAAGATTCGTAATATGACTTTGGCGCCCACTGGAAGCTGCGCCCGGGGACAAATGTGTCCCTTTGCTCCCTTCTAACTACGCCCCTGACTGGAGTTACTTGACAGTTATGAATATTCTTAGGAATAGAAATAAGGACAGAAAAATCAATTTATAAATCAGCTAATGTAATTGAAAAAACTTTAGTTTAATTTAAAATTGTTAAAATAGAAGTAAACTTTTTTTTTTTTTTTTTTTTTCCATGGTTTAGTTAATCTAGAATAATACACGCAACAAGATGTTTCTCCTCTAGAGATATGTAAAACATTTTTCCTTCCAAAATTATGTTTACTTTTACACGCAAATTAAAAGATATTGAGGAAGATTTAGAATAGAAATCAGAAAGCTCATGAAATTCACAAATGTTTTCCGCAAATAATAATACTGAAATTAAAATTATGACGATCTGTAAACTTACTTAGAAAAATAATTTAAAATTTCAACCAATATTTTGTTCTCTGTATGCTAGTATACAGGTCCTCCTCACGACCCGCGTAACATTAAAGCTTTTTTTCAAATTAGATGCAGAAAAATAAGCGGTTTCAGAAACATAAAAATTAAATTTTTTGTGTAATTAGATAATAAAAATTTTTAGCTAAGAAAATAGCGCTGTTAGAGCCATGAATATAGGTTTTTAACATCTATTACATTATTTCCTGTATCGAACAGAACAATGGAATCGTTGTCTGTCTCCTCATCTAAGACTGAAATCTGCTTTGTTTTAGTTCAAGAACAATTACAATTGATAAATTAAGTATTTCTGAAAAATAATTCGGGATAGAATTCTTTGCAATAAATAGTTGAGTAATCAAAAATAAATTCAAATAACATTAAAAAAAAGTATTCATCAGATAAGCCTGGAGGATGATGTCTCCCTTTTGAAATTTCTAATTAAAAACGTTTCATTCCTCCGTTTCATTTATTCTTCTAAATTAAATTAGAAGTAATTAATCCCACTAATTGATGGATGAAAGCTCCCCTTCTCTCCACACCGTCCATTTACGGCTGTATTTTCCCTCTCCTGACGGAAGTCCTCAAATTACACGCCTCAAACAATAATGAATCTTCTTTCCCCTCTCTTTTCCAAGGCGTAAACAGGATGTCAACCACTCAGTTCTCTCAAATCGACTCGGCCCCCAATTTTTCAAAGTTCAAAGACGTCTTATCCTCAAATTTTCCCGTCACACTTTCTCATCACTTCTACGTTGCAACCCCTATAACCTAGTGAGCGCATGCGCAATTGTTACTATCCCCCCTTTTCTATCAACGAAAGAGTAGAGACCGCACCTATTTACGACGGATCGTTTGAACCTCATGTCCATCATTTCAGATCTGCCCGATGATTGGAGAAGAGAGGCAAAATATAGGTGGAGTTTTCTACCCAATGGGCTGCAACGGAAGAAAGGGGCCGGCTCAGAACCGTCAAACCCCAGTTGGCCTCTTTGAGTGACTGAGTGATTATGTGACTAACCAGGGTAACAGCTTTCTTTCCCCCTGGTTTGCGAAGACTGGTTCTCTTACTTAAACGCCTTGCTTGGCCGTACGCCGAGTCAGCAGCGGCGTTTAAACGCCATATTTCATCAGCTATTCGTAAAAGCGTGACGCGCGGCAACGAGTTTTGAAAAAGTGCCACTCAGGTTTAAGCGCTGACTGTGTTACTCCGCATACGCCTCTAGGCGAGATTGTGAAAATGATCTTAATACGGCGTGCTAGTCAACATGTGTTGATGGCTCACTTTCATGATGCTAAACAATGTGAATTCTGATGCTGGGCAATCCAAATGCTCTTCGTTTTACTGCTGTTTATTTAATGCCTTGAGTAAACTGGACTCGTTTTGAGCTCGATTGTTAACTTTGATTTTTGTTAACATCATGGTGATATATGATTAACTGCCTCAAACTGAAATAACGAAAGAACTGATTGATAGTTCCTGCCAAGTTTGGGGCATTTGATGCGAAACACAAGTGGCCACAGACCTATTGGATTATTGATAAATGCCAAAGTTGCAATATTTTCTATGTGATGTAATAACTTGTAAACACTGTAAATATTTTCCGTATTTATCTGAATGGAATGCTGATTCTAATCTGTTTCTGACTCTTGCCATACATGATTAATATTTGTAAATACGTTCATCATTTAATTCCATAAAATTTTAATCACTTTTAAGTGGTTAATTCTCGAGCCAAATTTCCGGACTGAAGTTTCTTAAAGTTCCTAGAAAACATTATGTCCACCAACACAGATTCCGAATCTCAGTCCTCCGAAAAAATGACTTCACCTCTTCAAGCTGGGACAGAGGACAAAGATGAAGACAACGAAGAAGTGGACATCGATGTGACAAGTGTCCCTTCTGAAGGGGATCCTTTAGTCTCGTCAGATGTGGAAGCTGCCTCAGAAGAAGACGAATATTTCAAACCCATCAAAAAACTTTGCATGGCTCCTTCGAGGCCTAGTGCCCCGTTGGTGCCAGTGGCTGCCCCCAGTAGCAAACCACTCAGCTCTTTCTTCATCAAAGACATTTTAAATCATAAACCTGCATCGATCCAACGGACACTGTCGACGGATGTCCGCGGAATCGTTCGGCCGTGGGACTTGGACAGTTCTGCGGCATCGAGGCGTAGGCCTCGTTCGGCCGACGACGACTCACGGTCTGAGAGATCGGAAAGCGATTCTCCCGAGAGTCCCGCTGTTGCTAACCCTAACGCATCGCCACTTGACGCTCTCTTCGAAATGACCAGTAAAGCGTTCGAAGGACTTGAGGCGAATGAAAAAGCTTCAGGTAAGTCATTCAAAGCTATATTATGAATTTTACTGACTTCATTATTTTCAGTTTCCAGTTTCATCATGAAATATATTTCGCTTGCTGAAACCCTTACTTCTTACAGTCATTTATATTTATATAAACATTCGAAACATTTTTGAAACGCAGATTTGATATAAATTTTCAAAGTATATTTGAAAACAAGAATGAATGATGTTACTGAAAATTAATGTGAACGGTAAACATGTAAAAAATTTATATGACTTAAACCGGAAAGTTTAAACGTAAAACTAAAGATTTGCTTCCTGTATTTGAATAGCAACATTTCTGTGTCAAAGTAATTGGTATTTTTTAATATACGACAAATATATCCTTAAATTTCAACAAAAATTTAAATCTCCATAAAATACCAAAAACGTTTCGAAGTATCACATTTTTATGGATGTATACAAAATTTTTCTATTTTATAGGAAGTATTTGAAAATTACTTTATTCACAAATTCAAAATAATAATAATAATAACAATATTTTTAGTAACCGGTATTGTAACTTATTTCCTATTCTGAGAAGACTTTGTTTAAGGAATATTTTTTGCTTCACTTTTTTTTCAATAATTTGACAGCAATAGCAAGGTAAACATTTTTCGATGAATCTTAAAATCATTAAATTTTTTAGTTAAATGCAGTCTTGTTGCAGAATATAAAACCCACCAAAAACAAATTAGAACATAAGCTCTGAACATAGTTGGTACCTTTCTTAAAGTGTAATTTTTAGAACAGTTATTTAGCTGTCCAGGATTCATATCAATTTCACTTTTTGCTAATAACTAATTTTTTTTTTTTTTTTTTTTGTCATTTATTATGAAACACTTGAAACGATTGTACTTTTCCATTGCTGTTGTTAATCATGAGACCTTTTGTTGACCTTTTAAAGGAAGCATAGCTGACATAAAAACTTCCACGAAAACTGACTAAAACAGGCTGTTGAACAGGTTTCTAATAATAATAGGTTTTTAAATATAATAGGCTTTAACAATACTTTAAGTATAAAATAAGAGAAAATGGGAGAAGACTCACTTGGAAAGAGAAATTCAATTTGTTTGTTGGAAAAAAGTATTTGTTTGGGAAGGATATTAAATGCAACTTAGACAAAATAGTAGTAAAACTCATGTTTTAAGTGAAAACATTATTTTTCAATGAATGATTTTCTGTTGATTATGCCTTTGCTTCAAGGATATGTAATCAAAGTTTAGATTAAATACGTAGATGAACAGACACAGATACATCTAATGCTTTGTTAACTTTGCTAAGAGAACTAAATCTGCCTTGAATTATAGTTTTTAAATCTGGATTCTTGATAGCAGGAGCATTTTTCAGAAACAGCATCTATAGTGGGGTAAGCACCTTGTTTGTTATCGGGAGATACAACTTTAAATCTAATATAAGTTTTATATATGTATACAATAAAGAAATAAATTGTATAAAATATAAATTAAATCTTTCTAACATGTTAACTATTCCTTCTTGGATTACTTAATTATCAGTGATTAATACTCATTTTCCAACTACTATTGAACAAATTTCTGATAATACTAAAAGAGATTTATTGATATTAGGGAAGATATTTTTGAGTTGCATATTAGTTGAAGTGGCATATTAGTAAAGTAGAATTTGGGGTTTAAAAATGTCAGTCTCAGAGGGAGAAGTATCCTGTTTGGATAAGCATATCTATGTGATGTTTTTTCAGTTATGACACTTATAGAATGAAATCGAACTTCAATCCATATCTTTTGGTTCCTAAATTATAAAGCGGTTAACCAAAGCATTCAAAAGTCGGCAAAAAAGACTCTATTACTGTTTATAATGAGAGCTAACCTATCTATTTCTCTATCCAATTGCTTATTTATCTACTATTTATTTCTCTATATTACCAGATGATTGGACATGTATATGCATTGACCTAAAGGGATAAAAAGATTTATTATTCCTTTCTTGTAATTTACTAATGTAAAATTATGTTCAACTTACGTATTTTGTGTATAGAACCAATGATCATGCATACATGCATTACATTACCAAGTAAATGATTTATATAGCTAAAATATGTATAACTCTAGGTGAGAAACAAGATTTTTGATTTTATTTTGATAAACAAATGCAGCCAAAATTTTCTGGGGAAAATAAATAAAAATTAAATAAAGCCAAATAAATCAAGTATCACTGAGCAAATATGAATCGCCTGGTATTTTAAAAAAATGAGTTTGCTATGAAAACAAAAATTATATTAAATTTCTTAAACACTAAAAATTATGAGAGTGACTATAAAATCATTAGTAAAAGAAATTGGAAGTAAAAATTTCTACTTTCCAAAGTTTAGAATTTTATTTCAAATATTTTTTAAGTAACACACATCTGCCTGTGAAAGAAACCTGGACTGAATCTGATGTTATATCTAAATATAAGCAATGAATAATTAGTTTTTAAATATATTACTCATTTATTGTACATCTTTCAAGTTAAACCTCAAAATACAATTTTGATAAAGCAGCCTATTTAGTGATTTTCGATATAATTAATATGCTAGTGATAAATTTCTGTCCAACTGTAGAAGATCTCCATTTGATTGATTTGATTAAGAATTGTTAAATAAGAATTTTTATTGAAAGCAGAAAATAAAAGAATAACAAATGAAACTCAGAATCTGAATTGCATTTTTACAGTTTTGCATGCTTCATGTTACGCTTTATTAAATGTTATAATTTTCATTAGAATGTAGCTGACTCACCTAAAGAAAATTTTCCTCTTTAAAAAAGGAAGTCTTTATCCATAAATTCTCTTGAATTAGTAAAAGAACCATTTTAAATTTTAAAATGTATAACGTAGAAAATAATTCCAATTTTTTAAAATATATATATATAAAGTTTGAGTTAATTCTGTAAAATAAATCCTAATTACACTACCTGAGGAAAAGAATTGTTGAAAAAATTATAGGCGTAAAATTGTTAAATCGTGAAGATGACAAAAGATCAAGTTAAGCCTTTCGTACGGGAATTTGAAACAAGTTTAAATAATATTGTAATCTTTAAAATTGAAATTAAAATAAACCATAATAGCAGCAGTGAAAAAGAAAACGCAAGAAGCTATGCAGATAGACATATGAAAAATTTTCAAAACAAATTATTGATCTTCCTTGTTTATTGTTTCAAACAGAACTTGTCAAGAGGAAAACTAAAATAAATTTTTTTCTTTAAAAAAGGAAGTCTGTATCCATAAATTCTCTTGAATTAGTAAAATAACCATTTTAAATTTTAAAATGTATAATGTAGAAAATAATTTCAATTTTTTAAAATATATATATATATATATATTTTAAAAAAATTGCATTATACTATAATACTGGTCCATTAATAATAAAATACTGGTCCATTAATGAGTTCTGAATACATGTTTCGTTTTTCTGGACAATTTGAGACTTAAAACCGTATCAAATATATTTCCGTTTTTGATAAATAAATAATCAAATACTAATACACGTATAATAAGCAAAGATTAAAAAAAAAAAAAAAAATGCACGAACTACAACAAGAATAAGATAAAAGGTAGAACTGTATATGCAATTTAGAAAACTTCGAAAACGTGATTCTTTTATATAAACAAGTAATTCAACATTAATGAAGAATGTCATTCATAAGTAATAAAAGTGTTGTCTCAAAAACTATACATATATATCGTATAATCTATAAATTAAAATGGCAGATTGGGATTTTCAAGTTAGTGCCTAATTGAAGTCTAAGTACAACTTAATTATTAGAAACATAATATTTTTCTTTAATCTAATATTTCTGTAAACGATTTTTGAAAAATGGAATACATTTTGTGAAAATGTTAAAAACAAAGTGAACTATTAATGTTGTTAAACAGTTTGTCAAAGAAAACGAAAGAAAAGGAGGAAAAAAAAAAATAATAGAACGTCCTATTTTTTTATTCATTCAATATATGTGAAGATTTGAAGAACTGACGATTAACAAAATAATAAAAGAAAAGGTGACATATTGCATTTATTTATCAAAAGTTCATTAATCGAATGCTTTTAGATAACAAAACAGGTGTTTCTATCCACGTTCTGTTCTTTACCTGCCGTCAATTCTAAACTGATTGCAATTTGCTTGTACATTATATCAGACGAACTAGTTTCTCACTTTCAGCAATAATTTAGTGGCATTAATTTTTAAATTGATATTCTTCAGCATTGTAGCATGTAAACAACGGCGCATATGCAAAATAAAATTCAGTATTTTATTTAAAGAATTGATTTCATCTTAGATCATTGCTGAAGTAGATCTTCGATTACAGATCAGAATATTTTGTTTAAATAGCCTAGTCGTTCAATACTTATTCATTTAAGAATGACATTAAAAAAGAAACCGTAAATTTCCTGGGGGCATTCATTTATTTTTCATTTCATATTTAAATCTTCTAAAACGTGGAGTAACAGATTTATTATGTTAGGGAACAATTTGAATGACAAATTGGCTTGATTTAACCGAGCAATTAACACAAAACTTGAATCAAACTGACCCTCTGAATTGGATCTCGGCCAAAAAGGATAATTAATAGATATTCCAATCTGTGGAATATAAATGTGCAGTTAAATTCTAATTTCATTATCGCATTTACATAGCAGCATTTAATTATTTAGTATGGAAAAATACTAAATAAATTTGAATAATTGAAAAACAGATTAGGAATTTACGATTTCATTTTCTGCATACTGCGATTTGTTAAACTGTACAGGTTTGTAAATTAGTTAAAAATAATAACCTCTTAATAGTTTAAAAATAACAAAAAAAAAATAAATAAATAAATAAAGGAAATAATATCAATAAATAGAATAGCACTTAAAAGCATTTTAGTGAAAACAACTTCAAAGTAATCCTCTTACAACCTGCGCGTGTTTTCAATGCTTCTTAAGAAGTGACGAGCGTCTTCAGAATTTGAACTTTCAAACTTAAATTTTCA